ATAGTAGGCGAACGGACAAGTGCCCCCACTTCACTGGCGCAATGAAACAAGTTAAAACCTTCAGAAACGTGGTATTTCTTTTATTCCTTCTTGGTAAAACGGCTTCCCATGATGTGAGCGCTCGGAATATCGATACCAAAGGTAGGACAGCACTAGTCTCTCTGTCTCTCTCCCTTCTCTGTCCTCCCGGGTTTTTGGAGTCGCGCCTTCTGCTTTCTCTGTTCATGGCCACCGCTCTAACACAGTCCATCACACAAACACGAGGGGAATGGATCTGGAATTGTTTAAACCAAATAATTATTTGAGACGTTTTTTTTGTTTGTTTTAAAAGACGTTTTTTTTTCCTTTTTTTCCCCTCCAATGTGTTTTCTATGCACAGAGGGAAAAAAGACACCTGTAATGATGGTCTGGCCCGTTGTGTGTAAGGCTTCAGGTCTGGATTATTTTGTGTTTTTAAATAATATATACCAGAGCCTTAGCGGTACATCCTGGATTCCTTTAGCGTTAAACCGACTAGAGACGCGTAACTCCGGTCCGTCATAATGGAGCGACTAGAATACAGTACCTCAACCTGACAGTTAGGAGTCTAGCCTTACCACTGCGCTATACTGCTGAATACGTACTGTCGAGAGTAGCCAATTTAGGATGGAGAATCCGTGTCAGTTCAGCAGAGTCGTAAACCCCACAATCTTAGTGTTTATTGCAATGCAACATTACCATTTGAAAGAAAACTTCACTGACGTATGGATGTAATGTGATGTATCTTTTAGGTCTCGAATCGGAAAAAAAAGTTTAAATGTACTGGACGATCAGTTGCCTATTTATAGAAAACAAAATACATCAAGGCTTCTGAGGAGTGGTCGATTCGTTTTCTGAGCCCCTAACCGAGACAAGGTGTCAGCCCTTTAAAATGACGAAAAGTGTTTTCATATGTCTGGGTTGGTGGACAAACCCGATTCATACAACTTGACCCCCCCCCCCTCCCAAAAAAGTCCTCTTATCTGCTGGTTAGTGCCGTAAACAGCTACCAGCACCTTCAACTTTTGTCTTTTGAATCCCTGGCCTGCAGCGGCGCTGTTGCTGGCGGCGGAACCGGAGAATCCGAAGTGTTTCGCCGAGACGAAGCAGGATCTCACCTGCTTTTGGGATGTAGACAGTGGCGGTGGAGGAGCCGGTCTTTACGGCTTCACCTACCAATACGAGTGAGTGGCTCCGGGGCGTCTGGGGAGTGTTCTGGGGTTCCTCTGTGTTTCTCTCGCCGGCTTGGCTCTAGAGACTTCCTTGCAGCGTGAGCTAACCTCGACGTTCCTCGTTTGTCTCTATGCGAACAGCACGTACAAAGCGACACCTGCGTATCACCCAGAAAGAGGGTCTGCCCCAAAAAAGTCAAGACTGTATCACCAGGTCTTGGCAAGGGGATTTCATGAAATAGTGAGAACAGATGCAAACAAATGCTCCTCGGAGGAAGAGCCACGTTTGCTGTGTAGACCATGGAGTTTTTTATACGGATTCGTGACTTTAAAAATGGCGATAGAGGAATGGCCATACTGGAAAATTGTATTCTTTGTCAGAGCCAGGTAAAAAGATCTGGGAGAGCTCCAGGAGCCCCAGAATCTCAGCAGCGGGACCCACGAGAGATTCAGAAAGCCATATTGAATTAGTGTCCTGACGCCTGCTTTACTGCCACAGTTGTGTGTGTGTGTGCTGTGTCTAAGCTTCATTAACCGAACACCCCCAGGAGCGGGAAGAGCAGGAGCTGCAGCCTGACGTCACACAGACAGGGCAACAGGACCCGCTACATGTGTGAGCTTCCGGACATCTATCACTTCGCCACCCTGGACATCTGGGTCCACGTCGGCGGCCTGCTGCTGTACAACAGGAGCCTGTTCATTGACCAAGTCTGTGAGTGCCTGGGCCTGCCCTTCTCTCAAGATCAGGGCGCCTGTTGGAGCAATCGATCGGTTTAGCAAGTAAGGTGTCAATGAAGCACAGTGCTCTCGGAGGCCTGAAGGGTATTCTGATTTTTTTTTCTCCCTAAAATAATCTCTAGATGACTTCATTGAACACTGCTTGCTTAATTGATCATAGCTGTATTGCCCCAGGCTTTTAGATATTCATGATTTAAGAGGGTCCTGTGAAACCTGCTGGACTGCAGCTCTCCAGGACCAAGATTGGAGACCCCAGTAGCAGAGATGGGTGTGATTGTGGAAGGTACTGTACCCAGCAGTGTTAGATCAGGTGGTGTTCAGGTGTATTTTGTAAGCTATGTAAATGCGACCTCAGTGCAGTTGTTTTGGAGGGTCATGTGATTTTGTTTTCGGGTTCCTGGGGTCCCCCCACTATGGTCATCAGGGTGGGCAGTCCTGGTCCTTGGGGGGGGGACAGCGTGACTCAAGTGTTGGTATCTGAAAAGCCAGGAGAGGCTAGTAAACTGGTCCCATTAAGCCACTAATGAGCTGATTGAGCTCGACGAGAGCTGAGCTGGAATGCAAGGCCCCCCCAGGAGCAAGACTGTCTCCGCCTGCTTCCTGAGGGTAAATGAGACCCTGTTTCACTCTTTCCCTTCATTTCAACAAGTGGCAGATCCAGTCCAGGCTGGCTGGCAGCGTTCCTACTTGTCTTTTCCCACCAGCAGCTGGTAGTTATGGCCTCAGAAACAGAAGCAGGTGATGTGGATTTTCTCTGCCCCACAATTTGCCCTATTCGGAATGATTTGAAGACTGGGATGAAACCTGTAGCTGCCAGTAGTGGGCGCTCTAAGTAAAAGGTCTCTCTTCAGTGTCGGAAGTGACCATTTTTTTCCCGTTTTGCCACTGCCCCAGTTCTCCTGGATCCCCCAGCCAACCTGAGCCTCTCCCGGCTGGAGAATCCCCGCCAGCTGTTGGTGCGCTGGGTCCCTCCGGAGCTGAAGTACATGGAGAACAGCCTGATGTACGAGGTCAGCTTCTCGGCAGCCGGCTCCGGGCTGCGCAAGGTCAGCAGCTTCTCCTTCGTGACGGCCTGCCTTGACTAACGCCCCCAGATGGGCCCGGTTTTTCTCTGCAGAAACGTGCCATTGTCTATAGGCATGAAAGGACCATCAGACATTCGCTCGGCTGCACGGCTGGTTCTGTGTTTAATTAGATCTAGCGCCTTTCACCTTGATGCCCCAACATGCTGTGTCCAAACAAAAGGCCTAAAAAGAGGCCAAATTCCCTGTTGAGAAATGTCGAAGAAGAAAAGACGCTGGGTTTTAGAAGCACAGAAAAGCATTTTAAGTCCCGTCGGTTAGCAGTGAGCAGCGAATCCTTCAGCTGAAGGGCTGCTGGCCTGGATTTTGAGAGTCCACCCTGCCGTTGTCCAACGGCTCTGTGTGCAAGAGTCCCCATGTCCAGGCCGCGGTGCCAGGCTCACCCCTTGTGTGTTCCCTTGCAGACGGAGCTCGTGAAGGTCCAGACCAGCTACCTGCTGAAGGGCCTGAGGCCGCGGACGGTGTACGAAGTCCGCGTCCGCGTGAAGCCCGATGGCGAGACCTATAGTGGTTACTGGAGTGCCTGGTCTGATGCCATCGCCACGGAAACATCCCCCACCGGTAGGTTAGGCCTGGCTGGTGCGATGCCGGTCCAAACCCGCACGGGCCTTTTGTCTTCCTGCAACGCGAGCTCAATTCCAACACGCTAAGGAACGCCATTTTTTCTTCTGGGTCGTGTCACTTTCTGAGTACCTAAGGTCCAGCTGGATGTAGGACATGGATTAGGGCCACAGTTAAACAGTTTGGGGGTTGCTGCCTCAGCATGAAGTATGGTATTTGTGGTCAGGCGAAACCCAAGGGAGGGGCAGATGTGACTGTTTAATCGATGTGCTCTTGTCTCTCCAGAGGTGGACCCCCTCATCCTTTCCCTCTGCCTGATCATCTTCCTGATCCTTGTCCTGCTGTCTCTCCCCATCCTCCTCTCCAGCCGCAGGTCAGTGTCCCTCTCCAAATTCCTCATGCAAGAAATTGTATACGGCTAATCAAGTGATCTTATCTCCCACCCCGGGCCTGAATCGTGTGGTTACAGCTCCCAGCACTCTCCTAGGGGTGACGGTTTAACACGGAGTTAGCCAGGCTGCAGTTCTTACAGATTCTAGTCATGGGGAAACGAGGGTGATAAGACTGAGAAGCTGGAAAGTTAAGCACATGAAGAGAGGAGCTATCAATGAGAAGAGGCTGTGAGTACCATCTGTGTGTAAACAGCATGGAAATGCATTTTAAACCAAGAACAGGGGTCGCTTCTTTTCGCAAAGGGCGGTGGGAGTATGGAAAGAGCCATGCAGCTGTTTTGCTGAAGCCGATACCTTGGTTTCTGGATGAGATCCTCGGTTCAATGAACTACATCTAACTTATTCTAGATGAGCTGAATGAGCTCTTCTCTCTTTCAGCCATTTCTAGATCAGTTGGCACCTAGTAGATGCTGAATCTCAAGATCTCATCCAAGGAGTGGCCCCTGGTCTCAGTTAGCACTTGTATCTCAGGGTCCCGGAGGTAATTGATAATGATTAAGAACTAGATCAATCCTGACCAGTTCTTGGTTCTTAGAGGGAGCCCAATTCTTTAAATTCAGAAGGACGCATATACCAATAATGCAAATTAAACATCTTGTACTGAAAAGCTTTTTTTCTTAAGCTGAAGATTTGCAATCTTTGTGTTTGTCTCATTGGCAGGTCACTCAGACTTTAATTTCTGAGCCAGGACTTTATTTCAAAAGCCCTTCACTGAGCGTGACCAGGTCTCAGTCAGTACTGCTCTGTGAAGGCAGGCTCCTGCTGTAACTGTAAATGTGGAAGCTTGCTAGAGTGCACCTTTAAGAGTGAAATAGATGGCTTGCTCTTTTGTGTAAGATGAAATTCTACATTTCAAGTCCGACCATCTTCCCTGCCACCCCAAATAGAGTAAAAAGGCTGAACACATTTGGAATGTGCAGTTAGCCCAGTGCAATTTAACTTTAAGATCCAGGGACGCGATTAGGGAAGGTCATCATCCATCTTCAACGTGACGGCTAGAATGAAGAACCAGTTTGCCTCCTCACTGATTGTATCCTTCTCTTCTCCAGGTTCTTGCTGAAGAAAATGTGGCCTCTCATTCCCAGTCCAGAAACCAGATTCCCAGGCCTGTTCACAGTCTACAAAGGAAATTTCCAGGTACAGATCACCAGACGATGTGCACAGATCACCAGATTGCAGGTTTTTACTGTCGAAAATAAGCCAGCTTTACCCAAAAAAATGAATTTATAATAAAGTATACAGTTTAACATGGTTATAATGCGGTTTTACTATTGTATCCTATGCTATTTATTACATCAGGCTCTATTTATTTGACCCTTTTTTGGTTTGCTCACTCTAAATCAGGAGTGTCCAATGCTGGTCCTGGAAGTCCAGTGTATCTGCAGGTTTTTATTCCAGTTTAGCTCTGATTTAAGAGTTTAGCCCTGAGTTTAGACTGATACCTGGGTGTCCCAGCTCTCCAGGTGCTGCTGCTTTAACACAGGCCTTGCCACACTGCGGATGCACCTGGCCCCCCATGATCAGACACCCTGCTATAGTTTCTGATCCCTGGGGGGGGGGATCTTTTTTAGGCACAGCTCAGATTTTGCTCTCCACTTGGGTAAATGACATTCATTTAAAAACTCAAGCTTTTCTTGTGCTTGCAGTGTAGTGTGTTGATTTAATGATGGCACAGAGGCCCCACTGCTGGAGCAGATCTGCTCTGTTGTTGCGGTGGCGGTCCCCTCGTGGCCCCCTGCTAAAGCATCGCCTGTGTGTCTCTCCAGGAGTGGCTCGGCCAGAGCAACGCCAACCTGTGGTGGAGCCCCGCCTTCTTCTACATCGAGGACCTGGCTGCCCCCCTGGAGGTCCTCTCCGAGGTCAAGCCCATCGCTCACCCCGGCGGCGGCATCACGGCGCCCCCCAGAGCTGGGCACCCGCTCCCGCAGGAGGAGGACAAGTGGGAGGGGGGCGCTGAGGGGCAGGGGCGAGGGGAGGCTCGGCCGGGGCCGGGAGAGCATTCGAGGGCTCCTCTGTGTGACCTCTGGCTTTTGGGCTCCCCAGAGTCCCCGGCGCCCCGTACGGATCAGCTGGGGCCCGCCGAATCGAAGGACGCCTACGTGATCCTGAACCCGAGCTTCCTTCAGGGGGTCCCCCCGCAGGACAGCGCCCAGCGGGATGTTTCAGAGGAGGAGTCGCCCTTCCAGGTCCTGTTCGCCACCTCCGAGACCAGCACCCCCATTTCCTCCTCCGACCGGGGTTCCCTTGGGCACAGCTCCGGCTCCGGCTCCCAATCCCGATCCGGAGACCGGCTGTCCTCCGGCTCCAGTTTCGACTACGCTCTGTACGACCCCAGCAGTGCCCTGTTGTTCCCCCAATCCTGGACCCCCAAGAACCCCAGCTATGCTTACCTGACAGTGGCCGACTCGGGCATCTTTATAGACTACGTCCCCATGGGCTCGGCTAGTACCGAGGGGCTGTACACGAACTTGTACCGCAATGACATCTGCCAGCCCGCAGACCAGCTGCCCCGCCTCTACAGCGCCGTCCACGCCGGGTGCTGACCGGCGGGCAGGACACTCGGATCAGTGCAAAGAGTGCAGGGTGATCCACGAGAGTGCTCCCCTGCCCAGAATCTGCCCGTGGCAGCTTGGGCACAAGGATAGGACAGGGAGCCAGACTGCTCCGCCGGTCTCGAGCTTTGAGCTCAGATGGACGGACCAAGATGGAAGATGTACAGATGTGAGAGACGGGCACCCACACCTTCGCTCCAGTGGGAGCAAAGACACGAGTCTCTGTCAAAAAGAGGGCAGTTCATTGATTGAGGGATTTACAAGTGGCAGTTTGTCTGCTACAAAACCCACTTTGACAAGATAAACACGAACTGTAAGGAAATCGATGAAGGTGAGCTTCATCCCTTCTGTTATAGAGAGTTTTTATTTTTTTTATAACAAATCATGTTATTTTTTTGTCATTTTATTTTTACATTCACAGCAGGGTTGTTTTGTATAATCACGTGTAGTCCTTCAATGTTGTTTGGCCCCTCGCAACGCAGTGCCCTTCCTCATGATATGATCGCACTCGCACATTATTCAAAGGGGACAGAACACCAAGCACAAAACAGAGCTGGCACAAACCTCTGCATCTGTAGCTTGGTGGTGCCAGACATGCAGCATATGGTGCAGATGGCGATTGTTTATGACAAGGAGGTCATGTGGGAGAAAAGGGCTCTCTTTCTGATTTCTCTGAGGGTTGTGTTCGTTTTAATCTGGTAGGTCTCACCAAGGGTTCAGAAAAAAAAGAGGGACTTGCTGGATTAAAAGGTCAAAAAAGTAAAAAAAAAGATTCTTAGTAAAACTGTCAGAGGTTCCTTATAGCCTCCGCTAATACTTAGCCTCAAAATGGACAATTTAACTTGTGGCTACGTGTTATAATTTTACTTGTGGAAAAACAGCAAATCTGATCAATGAAAACGCAACCCAAAACCTAGATAAATCTCCCAGATCATTAAGCTTCCCAAAGCAATACGCTCTCATCTCCTGCTCCGCTGGGTTTGTCCCCAAACGATCACTACCAAGGCTTTCAATTTTCACAAACCGCTGACCTCAAACTCGTAAGGTCTCTGTATTCTCTACTGCATTGAACACAAACAGGTGTTACTTGGGTAAATACATGAATCATTCTGCAAACAAAAGCAGGAGTGTACCTGCATGTCTGTTCAAAACTTCATGGCTCAGGCTACTCAGCTGTTTTATTTTTTTATATCTAAAAATAAAAAAATGGTTGTACTTGAAATAAAGTTTCTGTGAAATAACTGCCTAGAGGGACTATTTGTTAAAACTGTACAGATAGAAACTTCAGTATGGAATGGAAACAATTAGCTTTTCAAAAGCTCATACTCTCCTTGTGTGTTACTGGTGCCAGATGTCTACACTGTAGACCTGAGCTCTAATGCTTGTTAAACTGGAGGTTATAAGGATGTGTTTCAGTTAACAGAGTCTCTTGGCACAAGAGCGTGCGGTTGTGTTCTCTGGAAAGATAAAACTGTATCTGTTGCGCAAGCAGGAGACCATGTCCGGCTTATCTGCGAGAGAGGGAGGGAGCATACTGTAAGTCCAGGGAGTGTGCCTTAATGAAAAACAAGGTCAGGACTACACAGTTTCAGAAAGCTGAATTTCTCGACTGTGGCGCCCTCTGCTGGCGTGCTGTGGCACAACAGTCACAGAAGTGGAGCTTATGGGGACAGAAACCACCACTGCCGCACCTAAGACGAATCGAGCAGTCTTTATTCAATGCTTTCCCATCTATGTGGACAAAGCCTTTATAAGGCCTTGGTGGACAAGATGGACACGCCTCACAGACACATCTGCAT